ACACAGGCACACACACACACACACACACACACACACACACACACACACACACACACACACACACACAAATACATAACACATAATATTATACACATGCAAACACGCACACCCGCACGCACGCACACACACACACACACACACACACGCACACACGCACACACACACACACACACACACACACACACACACACACACACACACACACACATACAAATAGCATAAAGTCATTTCTTTGTGGCAAACACTAGAACGCACTTTCACAATGACAACGCCTTGGAGAAAATAGCGATGGGATTCTGATGATGATAGTTGCTTGTCTACCTATCATCTACCCGTCATCATTGTCCCCTACAATGACCATGTACTTATTTGCAAGCCGACCGTGAAAGGAAAGTAATATGCACATTTCTACTTTTAACTTACTGTAACATGATGGTACCGAGCTCAAACTACCATCACTATTGCATGTAGCTGAAGACTTTCCCCATAGAAAGTATCCATGCTGACAGGTAAACTGAACAGGAGCACCATCTTGAACGAGTGAAGCATTACTCATACCAAATGGAATAGGTGGCACACTGCAATTGGGAACTGGGCACAAGGTAAACAGAGAGAAAAAGAGAAAAGAAATTGGCCCTATTCTATTTTCAGCCCCAAGACCATTTTCAACATGTCTGGTGAGGATCTTCTCCAAACCTGAAGCACACTTCATCTCACTAAAAGCAGTTGTATGTGTAGGGTGTGAGTAAAACATATTGTGGAGTATACTGTATTGACTAAGCCTTTGAGGCCAGAGGACCAGTTAATTCGTCCAAAGAATGTACGCAGTAGACCCAGGTGCTCGAAGTCCGTACATGGTATCCTAAGTTCGTACGCCCATAATTTCATGTTCTGTTATTGGATTCGACGCAAATATTTTTATGGGGGGGGGGGGGGGGACAGTGTGGTATGTTCTCCTCGCGTAGCAATTTTCAGGGATCTACGATAAGCAGAAGTCTCATACCACGTGAGTGGGTTTTCGAGTGTCCATACGAAATACAAATTAGGTTACATTTCATGCAAAAATCAACTTTGCTAAGACCGATTTCGAACGGACACAGCGTCAAACAGACTTTCACTCAATCATCAAGAGCCAGCTTAGAGCTGACAATGGCCACAGGAGAAGAATTTACAGAGAACCACCAATCCTTGCAGAAAGGTTGACACTCCTGGCTCCTCCACCACTGTTTTCCCGCGGTTTTCACAGCGCAGCTGCTTCTTCTCTGAGCCGACTAAAAACAGCTTGCATTTCGGCAACAAACTACGCTTTTGCAAGAAATACTGGTGGAGGCACATGCCAAACATATCCCTTCGGTGTTTTCGTCGGAACCGAGGGATTGCAGGTTAGCAATTAGCAGAAATATGTGTGTATTTCGAGTCACCTCTGATCAGTACGGACTTAGGGTACCCTCTGCGACACCAAAATTTGATATGAAAAATCAGCGAACTCCAGAGAAACAGATCGGATCGAAAGATGGCCTGGTTCAATCGAGCCTGGCCTCAGAACAAACTTGGACAAGATACCTTCCATCTACGATCAGGATTCTGGCAAGTGATCATTGCTAGTGTGAGTTTCAGCTCGGCAAACACACACTGTGAAAGTGTACGGACTTCGAGCACCTGGGTCTACTCCCGAGAGCGAGAATACTCGTCACAGTGAATACATTTTTACAGTGCATATACATCAGTGTTCAAAGTACCATAACTCTGGTATTCTTTCTCCAATGATCGCAAATGATAAGTCGTTGGAACACTAAAAAAAAGCTTTCCAGTGATATGTCGTTTGATATAGCCCTACGTGGATTCACGGAGCGCCAAATAGCGAAACACAAAATACGCTTGAATTTTTTGACAAATGGTTGCATGCGCAACGACCCGCATCTATCAGTATCTCTCAAAGAGGACTTTTCCTATGAGTCACCGTTGTACAGCACATGCAAAGTAGAGCCGAAAGGATTCGCTAGAACTTCATGAATCTGGAGAACTTTGAATTGTGTTTCTCCGTTGAGTAGTAAAACTTCACCACCGAAGAAAATTGTCAACGTGGGCAGGCTATGAAGGCAAGGTGGGCAGGCTATGAAGGCAAGGTGGGCAGGCTATGAAGGCAAGGTGGGCAGGCTATGAAGGCAAGGTGGGCAGGCTATGAAGGCAAGGTGGGCAGGCTATGAAGGCAAGGTGGGCAGGCTATGAAGGCAAGGTGGGCAGGCTATGAAGGCAAGGTGGGCAGGCTATGAAGGCAAGGTGGGCAGGCTATGAAGGCAAGGTGGGCAGGCTATGAAGGCAAGGTGGGCAGGCTATGAAGGCAAGGTGGGCAGGCTATGAAGGCAAGGTGGGCAGGCTATGAAGGCAAGGTGGGCAGGCTATGAAGGCAAGGTGGGCAGGCTATGAAGGCAAGGTGGGCAGGCTATGAAGGCAAGGTGGGCAGGCTATGAAGGCAAGGTGGGCAGGCTATGAAGGCAAGGTGGGCAGGCTATGAAGGCAAGGTGGGCAGGCTATGAAGGCAAGGTGGGCACACTATGAAGGCAAGGTGGGCAGGCTATGAAGGCAAGGTGGGCAGGCTATGAAGCCAAGGTGGGCAGGCTATGAAGGCAAGGTGGGCAGGCTATGAAGGCAAGGTGGGCAGGCTATGAAGGCAAGGTGGGCAGGCTATGAAGGCAAGGTGGGCAGGCTATGAAGGCAAGGTGGGCAGGCTATGAAGGCAAGGTGGGCAGGCTATGAAGGCAAGGTGGGCAGGCTATGAAGGCAAGGTGGGCAGGCTATGAAGGCAAGGTGGGCAGGCTATGAAGGCAAGGTGGGCAGGCTATGAAGGCAAGGTGGGCAGGCTATGAAGGCAAGGTGGGCAGGCTATGAAGGCAAGGTGGGCAGGCTATGAAGGCAAGGTGGGCAGGCTATGAAGGCAAGGTGGGCAGGCTATGAAGGCAAGGTGGGCAGGCTATGAAGGCAAGGTGGGCAGGCTATGAAGGCAAGGTGGGCAGGCTATGAAGGCAAGGTGGGCAGGCTATGAAGGCAAGGTGGGCAGGCTATGAAGGCAAGGTGGGCAGGCTATGAAGGCAAGGTGGGCAGGCTATGAAGGCAAGGTGGGCAGGCTATGAAGGCAAGGTGGGCAGGCTATGAAGGCAAGGTGGGCAGGCTATGAAGGCAAGGTGGGCAGGCTATGAAGGCAAGGTGGGCAGGCTATGAAGGCAAGGTGGGCAGGCTATGAAGGCAAGGTGGGCAGGCTATGAAGGCAAGGTGGGCAGGCTATGAAGGCAAGGTGGGCAGGCTATGAAGGCAAGGTGGGCAGGCTATGAAGGCAAGGTGGGCAGGCTATGAAGGCAAGGTGGGCAGGCTATGAAGGCAAGGTGGGCAGGCTATGAAGGCAAGGTGGGCAGGCTATGAAGGCAAGGTGGGCAGGCTATGAAGGCAAGGTGGGCAGGCTATGAAGGCAAGGTGGGCAGGCTATGAAGGCAAGGTGGGCAGGCTATGAAGGCAAGGTGGGCAGGCTATGAAGGCAAGGTGGGCAGGCTATGAAGGCAAGGTGGGCAGGCTATGAAGGCAAGGTGGGCAGGCTATGAAGGCAAGCTAGCATTTTTCGAGGACACTGTAACGAACTTCCAGCGGGATAGGGTAAGCAGTTCCGCGCCTTCTTTCCTTGGCAAGCGCTTCGCTGATTTGTTGGTGTTTTCAGATCTGCTACCTTCGCAGCACCATGCCCCACAAGTAACGCATGTTTAGAATTTGAGAACACTTTGTTCTCGACATCGTCCACTTCAGCCTTTAGTATTCAGTAGAGATACGAGGATTCTTATACCCGAGCCTGCAGTATTGATAAATGCCGACACGAACGATGCGGTTGCACCAATGTTCAAACACAGAAAACAGTGTTTCCGACAGTCTGCCTAGACGAGCCAAGTCACAAACTTTGCGACATGGGAAGCGACAATTTTAATGACGCGGAGGAAGTACTGCTGCTGCTGCTGCTGCTGCTACTACTACTACTAATAGGTGTTTTATTGAAAGATAAAGCATTGAAGACGTGAATGCAAGGAGGGCAAAGAATTTAAAAGGCGAGCAGCAAAATTGTAGCAAAATTGAAAGACAAAAAAATATTTGTAGAAGAGAAAAGGACATATGGATACGAGTTAAGAGTAACTCTCCATCACTGTAACATGATACTATATACAGTCAGAAAGTGCAATAACTAGGCACAAAACTGACAAAGTACTGAAACACATCTCCGTAGCGCTAACCGACAGCCTTCCAAGTTTTTCCAAGTATTGCACTTTCTGACTGTATATAGTATCATGTTACAGTGATGGAGAGTTACTCTTAACTCGTATCCATATGTCCTTTTCTCTTCTACATTTATTTATGACTCAACATCCGAGTTTCAAATAAAAAATATTAATGGCAACCGCAATATTTATAAAAGAAAAAGGGGAAGGAAAGAAAAGAAAAACCTCTAAACCCAAAACTGCTTGAACACCGCCAGAAAAGAAACCATAGAATTGAGTACTACCACTACCACCAATACAAGCTAATACCTAAATCCTAATGTTTGAAACCAGGCCGTCCGGATGCCAGTTTTACCCCGGCGAGAAACTGTGGGAGCCTAAGAGCGCAAAAACCAGCACCATGCTCCAATATTAGAAGAAAAAGAGCCCAAATCCATGCGCTGGCAGTGTGAATGCAGTGCACAAAAGTTGAAAGGAACCAGTTGCGCGACCGTCAGGCTAAGCGAGCCTAAATCCATGCGCTGGCTGTTTAAGTGCAGTGCGCAAAGCACTGCCACAGCGGTGCGTGGCGAATGCAAACATGGCAGTGTGATCAGTGGATGCTAACACGCACTAACTACATTAGTGCGACATTTAAAAGTGTTGTCTCCACATCGATCATTTACAGTATTGATACAATTTTAATCAGTAATTTGAGTTTGACAAAAAATGTCAGTACTGTAGATCCAGCTGAACACTTACCACCGCAGTATGGCACTGAAGTGAGACTTCCATTAAGCAAGCAACTTGGTGTGGCATCACCCACAATCCCCTGACCCTCTTGGCATGAAAATGTAACATTGTGGGAGACTTTCACCACTGTTCTGTCAGCAGTACCATTGGCAATATAAGGTACATTACAGCGCAGAGCTGTGCACAGAATAACGTAAAAAAAAAAAAAGAAATGGTACATTTTACATGATTGCGCTGCTGCTTACCGTTGCTAAAGGGGAATTCTTTAACAAAAAAAATTACTGTAAATCATGAATATATAACGAACAAGTAAATCTAACGAGTTAACGAGCAAAGATTTGTCGTTATTTTAAAGTTCGGTAGCAAAAGTGGTATGCATTTGGGCCTCGCACGATTGAAATCGATCATTTCACATTATGGCATGCAGCGCGTGTTCAACGGATCGTAACTCGGGCAATTCTCAACGGAATTCAACAATCGAAAGATCTAGATGATACATGTAGCAGAGACGATCAGCAGTTGGCCCAAACAACTCCGAAGTCTCTCAGATGAGTTTTGACGAAGCGGCTGGATAAACTTCATTTTCTTTATTCTCCTGACATCGAGGTATACTGTGCATGTGTTGGACAACAATGAATGTCCGTGACGAGAATTCCTAGTATTATTGCAGCTGTCTGAGAAAATCGTTAACTTTTCAAACCGTTAACCTTCGAAAATCAGAAAATCGTTAACTTTGCGGGTCGTTAAAATAATATGATTTACAGTGCTAATTCAATATTTGTGTTACTTAGCGGTTCAGCTTCAAAGGCTCGCCCTCTAGATAAGTTTCCGTTATCTTGAGAATCAATCAGTGAAGATTGGCTTCTTACAACATTTACCTTAGTTCATACACGTGTATGTACATAAGAGGCATTGTGCATGGTTGAATACCCTTCAAATTGGTGAACCCCTTGATAGGCGACAAGCCTCTGGGTCATCCTAATAAAGATTTTATTATTACTTCCTCCGTGTCATTAAAATTGTGGCTTCCCATATCGCAACGTGTGTGACTTGCTCGTCTTAGTGAGACGGTCGGAATCGCTTTTGTCTTTTGTGTTTGATTATTGGTGCGAGCCTTCCTGAACAATGTCTCCTTGTTTCTGAAGCCGTGGTGGTCTCGGACTTTGTCGGAGCTCTCTTCCACACCAAACAATTCATTGCACTCCGCACTAATCCGCCCCACAGCGCGAATCGTTTTTTTCTGGAGTTCCTGCCAGTCCACATCGTTCGCGTGGGCATTTATCAAGTTTGCAAGCTAGTGTATAAGAATACTGGTGTCTCTCCTGAATTCGAAATGCTGAAGTTGACAATGGCAAGAACAGAGTGTTTTCAAAATCCTAAAATGCGCTATTTTCGGCGCATATTGCTGCGAAGATAGCAGGTCTGAAAACAGCAACTTCTCTTGTCGTAGCTACAGAAAGCAGCAAACTTGAGCCAGAATTCGATCTGAAGCAATTCTGGAACCTGGAAGGAATTGAAATTACTCCCGAAAGTGAACTTAGTGACGATGAAAAAGCCCACGAAGCCTTCCAGAAATCAGTAACGTTCGAAGGCGGCAGGTATGTTGTATCATGGCCTTGGCGCTCTGACCCTACACAGCTAGATCTTCAGGAAGACTGGGGCCTGGCGTACGGACGCCTCCGTTCCCTTCTACGCCGACTCTCCAAACAACCAGAGTTGCTTGAGAAGTATGACAGCACCATCAAAGAACAAGCTACCAATGGTATTGTAGAAATGGTGGTACAGGACAAGCCCAGTGGCCCAGTGCATTACCTGCCCCACCATTGTGTTGTCTGACCGGACAAACCTACAACCAAGGTACGCGTTGTCTGTGACGCATCAGCGAAGTCCAGTAGTTCAGCAAGCAGTCTGAATGACTGCCTCCATCGCGGTCCTTCTTGCTTCCAGATTTAGCTGGCATCCTCATGCGATTCAGAACGTTCCAATCGGAATAGCAAGCGACATCGAGAAAGCGTTCTTACAGATGTCGCTCCACACACAAGACCATGACGTGATGAGATTCTTGTGGCTCAAGGAAATCACCCAGCCACCTAGCATAGACAACATCGTAGTGTACAGATCCGCAAGAGTGCGCTTCGGAGTGATCTCCAGTCCCTTTCTTCTGGCAGAGACAATCAGACATCACTTGTCATCCCAGTCGAACGATGAGCAGGCCAGCGAGATCGTTGACAATACGTACGTGGACAACATCCTGATCAGCAAACGCACCACCACCGACGCGCAGGATTACTATGCCTACACAAAGTCAGTCTTCTTGTCTGCTACAATGAATCTAAGGGAGTGGGCATCCAACGACACAGAATATGTTGCCTCCCTACCAGCAAATGATAAGCCGACCTCGTCCACCCACAAATGTCTTGTAATGAACTGGGACACAGCACTAGACACTCTTGCCGAGAGTCACTAACCCCCAGAGTGAGCAACACCACATAGATATAGTCTGTTGCGACTCGTTTTCAACATTACGTCATTTTCATGTAGCTGCGCGTTGCACACTCTTGTTTATGGACTCTTGCTCTCGCTATTAGCAGTACCCACGCATCGGAGAGACTACAGTCCATTCAGAAAAAGACGAGCGCTGGCTCTGGAGAACTCCCGTGCTTGGAGATTTTGTGGTACACTGTACAGTGCCGCGCGATTCGAAACTTGAAAAAGGGTCCAAAAAAGGCACCTCAACTGAGGTTCGAACCGCAGATGTACTGTTATGCAAGTGGAGTGAACGGCCTGGATTTTCATGGTTTTACCCAATTCAGTGCTTTGGGGGCAAAACCTGGCCGAAATCCTATTCCTGTTATGCCTTGCTTTTTTGGAGAAATAGACTTCAAAAACACAATTGGAAGAGCATTCCTTGGGGGATTGCCAAAAAACTGTGACGAAAACTCAAAATTTGACCTGTTTATGGCCAAGAACTAGGAAATCATCTTTTTCTGAATGGACTGTAGTCTGCACCAAACGTGAGCTTCTTCAGGCGATTGCCCAGTTTTTTGATCCACTTGGATTCCATGCTCCGTTGACGGTCTCTGCCAAAGCGCTCATGCAAGATAGTTGGCGTGAACAGTATGATTGGGACGATCTCCTCAGTGAAGCTTATCTCGTAGGTGGCGTGAGATTGCTATAGAGGTGGACAAAGCATCATCTGTCACATTTCCCAGGTCCGCAGGTCTACACCCTGAGGACACAGAGCGTTACGAGCTCCATGTATTCTGGGACGCCTCTCAGCTAGCTTATGGTGCTGTTGCATATTTGCGCAAGATTGGGAACAATGAAGCATCATCCGACATTGTCTTCAATAAGACTCAAGTGGCACCTTTGAAGGCCATCACAATTCCGCGACTGGAGCTTCTAGCGGCTCTTCTAGGTGCACGTGTTATCAAGTTCCTGAAAGGTCAGCTGCCAGTACATCGAATTTGTTTACATTCCTATTCTTCTTGCGTCCTTGGCTGGATCCAGAGCAAGAAGACACAACCAGCATTTGTGGAGAAGCGACTTGCAGAAATCCGCGAGAACCCGAGACTGTCCAGTTCACTCATCTTGCCAGCCGGGAACTAAATCCTGCTGATATGCCTGCTGATATGCCTGCTGATATGCCGTCGCGTGGTCAACCACCAACAGCTAACACTACAGATCTTTGGTGGCATGGCCCACCTTGGCTTCGCACCTGTACAGATCACTCTTTTCCTTTGCCTGAGGAGGGTCCTCCGGAAGTGCAGCAACCCAGTTTCAAGAAGCCTCTACTTGCGTTGCTATAGATCACTCTACTCCAACACCCAGTGGTCCATTTGACATCGACACTACCCGCTTCTCGTCATTTCATAAGCTGATCTCCACAACTGGATGGGTACGCCGGTTCGCCAACAATTCGAAAGCAGGAACACCTCAAAACGAGTCGCCAGTTCTAACTTCTTAGGAGCGAAGAGCAGCTCGAGATATGTGGATTGGGCATATCCAACAGTCAGCCTATGTTCAGTGACATCAAGAAGAACAAGAAGAATGATTTGATCCGTCAGCTTCAACTGTTCGTCGACATCACCGGTTTGCTGAGATGCAATGCCAGAATAGAAAACTCCAACACCTTGTCTGAAGCCGCCAAGTTTCCACTCTTGCTCCCAAGACATGCCCTTACCAGCCTAGTGATTCGTCAAGCACATGTGGAGCAAATGCACAGTGGGCGATTGCACACTCTTGCACGGCTACGTCAGATATATTGGATTCCCAGTGAAAGACGAACTGTGAAGAGCGTGATTACACAATGTGCGGTGTGCAGGCGCGTACGCAGGGTCACCTCTAGGGGGGTTTCCAACCGAATCCAAACAATGAGTTTTAAGTTTTAACCCTTTCTAAAGAGCCCTAGGAAATTTTCAAAATTATGCATTTTTTGGTGTTGTTTGGATTATAACTTCAATTCTACTCACTCAATCTTCATTATCTTGGGCTTCCTGGAAGTGGAAAGGTACCCGGATGAGAAGGAGCTTGACCATGATAGCCAGGACACAGTACAGTCATGCACATATCCAGCGCTATAGGCTATAGCGGTAGAGTGCAGCGACGGTGCGAAAAATGCCCCAAACGCATCCTGCTCCAACGATTTCGTTTTTCTTGATCGCAGAGTTTCGATTTTTTTGCCTTATGTGCTCTTGAAAGTATCACTAGTGAAGCCCCTGCAAATTTGAGCAAATCAGTGCGACGAAAATCTCAAAATCTCGATACTCAAGTCGCACTGTGCGCTTTTGAAATTGCCGAGATCGCGGCTCAACTTACGAATGATTTATCTCACGATTCATTGCTCGCAGCGATTCGCAAATTGTTTCAACCGACAGCTAAGAGTTTTCTATTTGACCTGGATATTTGGAACGTTGGATGTGAGCGAGATTTGACTGAGTTACGATCTTTTGAAGTTTTGCCATTCTTGCCAGATCGATAATGCGCCCTACCAAAAAATGCCCAAAAACGTTGCTCGTTTGGAACATTTGGGGAGTTTCCGGGCAAAGGGGAACCCCCTGCGCACGTGCCTGGGTGTGTCGCAAAGTCGAAGGTGGACCCTTTGCAACCCCACAGATGGCACCCCTACCAACAGAGCACGTAAATCCAGCAGTTGCATTCTCTAGTTGCGGAGTTGACTACTTCGGACCATTGCTGGTGAAATCCGAGTTCGGTGCGAAGAATGCATGAAGAAATATACTCAGTACAGTATTATACTCAGTACAGTATTATACTCAGTGCAGTATTATACTCAGTGCAGTATTATACATGGCATAGATTAACGGCCGGACATCGGACATTTTCCGGCCATTTTCGGCCACTGACCGGACGTTTTCAATTTCACCGGACATAGTGTCCGGTCAAAAAAAGGAAAAAAAGAGCAGAGACCTTTCGAACTTTTTATGCAGAGTTGGGCTTTCTTCGGCCGCTTCGTGCCAACTGCGACTTGCATTATCGTATAACTTACACGTCTACACCGTAGTCTCAGGCGTAGACTTCAACATATATACTTGATCCGCCTGTAGCAACGTGGTTGCTACAGTCATTCACACTTTCGACCTTTGGTACATGGTGTCGACTTCGCACCTGAGTCAATGGGTTGAACTGCAGAGTGCAGTGCAGCTGTTCGCTCTTGACAGTGTTGAGAGGAAGATGTCATCTTTTTATTTTTCACTATTTCACTCACCAAGAATGCAGATCGTCTTTTAGAATGTCCGATTTCTGGAAAGCGAAAGGGAGATTCAGAGGACTTGCCGCCGTGCAAAAAGGTCCGTGGTGTGAAGGCCGCTACTTGCGATAAGTGGATCTCGGACAATGATGCAGAGCTGACTTCTTCCGCCTGGCTGATTTATGACCGGCAGAAGAACGATCGGCTGTTAGCAGAATGTTTGAAGTGTTCCGTGTGCATCAAGTTTGTAGACAGAGTCCGCAGTTGTAAAAACTTCAGCGAGGCTTCCATAAACGGATCCAAGAACCTGAGAACATCAGCGTTCAAGGATCATGCTGGAACGGAGATGCATAAACGAGCAATGAATCTTTTCTGCAGACAAGAGTGTCCCGCTCGAAATGCCCTCGAATTCGCTCCAATTGCAAAGGCACTGTGCGAGATGGACGATGGTGCTGCCGCTAATGCACGACGCAAATTCGAAGGTCAAGGAGCATATCGCGTTCGCAAAATTCTCAACTGCAACGCTTTCTTGTACATACATTTCTCGTCAATAAATTAGTTCAGTTTCTAATACAAATAAATTGGCGAATTGTACATAGTAATGTGTGAGATACGTCCACATAATGAGTCATTGTGAATATACTTCAGTACTACTAAAAAAAAAGAAGAAGAAACACCCTGAAAATGTGTTGTCGAACATGTCCGGCCACGTCCGGACAGATTTCAAAACGGAAGGACGTTTGTCCGAGCTAAATGAAATCCTTAAGCTATGCCCTGTTATACTCAGTGCAGTATGATACTCAGTACAGTATTATACTCAGTGAAGAAAGCATGGGTTGTATTATTCACCTGCTTCGTCACTCGAGCCATTCACCTGGAGCTAATGAGTGATATGACCGCCGATCAGTTTATTCTATGTCTCCGTCGGTTTATTGCGCACCGTGGATGTCCTTCTCATATGTGGTCTGACAACGCCCCACAGTAGCCGACCAAGCCTTACGGCAAGCTTGGACAGACACCACAGAAGATGCCGATGTCCAAAGCTAGGCAGCCGGCCAAGCCATCAAATGGTCGTTCATCGTAGAACATGCCCCATGGATGGGAGGAGTATACGAGTGCCTAGTTTGCGTCGTTAAGCGGGCGCTGAGGGAGTCAATTGGCCGACGCTGTCTATGGCCGACCCACCTGGACACCGTACTAAGTGAAGCAGCTGCTATCATCAACACTAGACCGTTAACTGCATGTGGGTCTTTGGAGGAAGGGGAGGCTCTGACTCCGGCTCATTTTCTAGTTCTTAGGTCTCTGAGCTGTCGGCGGTGAAAACAGTCAAGTCGCTGAAAGACTGCCTGGGGCACTCTCCATGTCTCACAGTTGTAAAGGAGGTCAGGCAGCACAAGCGAGCTGTGCAGCTTGAGCCTGGACCTTTCTGACACATGCTTGCGCCGCAGCCAGAGGCTGCACATGCTAATGTATGCCTGGGATGCCAGCAAAATCTCCTGTCGATACCCTCAGCACCCCCCATAAGAGAACCAAGCTGCTTGATGCTCCACCAGGACGTAAAGTGCCCCCATTCCATTCTTTCCTCATGATGACAGCTTCCTCCATAAATGCGGAGCGTGGGGAATGCCTTTGGCAAATGAGAGTTGTTGCATTGGCTAGCTGTACATCCCAGCAAGCGGGAATGTGCTGGTTATCGATACTACACAAACAAAACAAAAAATCGCGGTGGTGAGTCTGAGCAGACCAGGAGGTATGACAGCTTTGTATACTAAAAATGTACAGTGCGTTCGGTGAAACAATTCGATACTGTTTTCCAGCGAAATGTTGTAATCTATGTACAATATCCTCTAATATCCTTTCTCTAGGGCCCAAAGGCTATCCAATTCACCAGGCATCGTGGTTTTACTGTTTTTTGTTTTCTCCGCATTTTGGGTTGAAATCTGAACATAAAAAGAAGCACTGATGACGTCATTCTGCTTATAATAGACATTTGATGTCGGAAATCGATGACAACTAACCCAGTGTATCGATACAGGCAGTTTGGTTGAAAAATATTGATGTATGCCAAAGTTATTACCAATACATGTTTTGTACATACATGATCTCCTTATTATACCTGAATACGGGAATTAAAACAAAATGAACATCGACTCACGTATTTCACACACAACACGTAAACGCGCTGCTAGGACATGTGAATTGCCATAGGTGGTTAATGCTTTGTTCTCGGCATTTGGCAATCCTCTCCATGCAAAGACATTGCGAGGGGAGCAGCCAGCTTGGAACGAAGATTCAGAGAGAATTGTGCCATTGTTCCTGCTGCACAGTGCTTTTGCTGAAGTGTAATTCAAGTAGAGGCTTGAAGGGATTGATACACTAGTTATGGCCGATGATGCTGGGCAAAAGGTATTCCCACTCAGCTCTGGAGTCACACGCACACACACAGGCACACACACACACACACACACACACACAGATGCGCACACACGTGCTAGATCCTGAATTCGAAATGCTGAAGTTGACAATGGCAAGAACAGAGTGTTTTCCACATCCTAAAATGCGCTATGTGTGGCGCATATTGCTGCAAAGATAGCAGGTCTGAAAACAGCAACTTTTGTCGTAGCTACAGAAAGCAACAAACTTGAGGCAGAATTCGATCTGAAGCAATTCTGGAACCTGGAAGGAATTGGAATTGCTCCCGAAAGTGAACTCAGCGATGATGACAAAGCCCACGAAGCCTTCCAGAAATCAGTAACGTTCGAAGGCGGCAGGTATGTGGTATCATGGCCTTGGCGCTCTGACCCTACACAGCTAGATCTTCAGGAAGACTGGGGCCTGGCGTACGGACGCCTCCGGTCCCTTCTACGCCGACTCTCCAAACAACCAGAGTTGCTTGAGAAGTATGACAGCACCATGAAAGAACAAGCTACCAATGGTATTGTAGAAATGGTGGTACAGGACCAGCCCAGTCTTGTCCGACGTGTGTTGTCCATTGTGTTGTCCGACCCGACAAACCTACAACCAAGGTACGCGTTGTCTATGATGCATCAACGAAGTCCAGTAGTTCAGCAAGCAGTCTGAATGACTGCCTCCATCGCGGTCCTTCTTGCTTCCAGATTTAGCTGGCATCCTCATGCGATTCAGAACGTTCCCAATCGGAATAGCAAGCGACATCGAGAAAGCGTTCTTACAGATGTCGCTCCACACACAAGACCGTGGCGTGATGAGATTCTTGTGGCTCAAGGACATCACCCAGCCACGTCAGGCGAAATTTTCTGGTCAGTCGGCGACACGCATTTTTCACAAAATTTGCGTTTCACGCGCTGGGAGAGTATGCGTGTACTCGAGTCTCATCCTGAACACGTTTTTTTCTTCTTTTTTTCAGCTCCAGTATAGCTGTATTTTTCATTGCAAAGCCGTCCTCGATTGTTGTGTTCGTTGTTCAAACGAAGTGGACATTCAATCATGAAGGCAGAGGACATAGGAGCCTGATTGGAGTTTCTCGTGGCATAGGACGGCCACACAGAGACACTTCGGGATTTTCTGAATATAAAACACCGTACGCACGATGCTGAGATCAATTTGTGCGATATCAAATTGTTTGTGATCTACCACATCGAGCAGAACGGGATCCAAACACAAGCTTACCGACGGTTAGGCTGCCGACCTGACTGGACAAATGATCCCTGGCTTCACCAGACGCCAGAAGTCGGACACCATGTCCTTTGCCGCGACGTCCGTCTCCATAAAGAACTCCATCTTCGTCGTGAAAAGGCTTGAAATACTCAATATTCAACCGAGATTCGCGGTCTCACCCTTTCTCAGATCGAATCATTTTTTGTTGTAGCAGTTGCAGCGCAGATCCCCGCCACTACTTCAACAGAAGATGCTCCAAAGCATGCCTGGAACAAGCCATATCGAGGTTGCAAGCCACCCCTCTCAGCACTTTTTTTGAAGAAATTCGAAATTTCAATGGTGGAAGATATACTATGAAGAGAATTTCAAAAAGTATGTTTCGCGGAGCGATCGCTCAACCTACGTCATTCAAACTTTGCAGGATGGTTCAGACGTACATGCTAGGCATGAAACCACAGAAGATGATATCATAGCTGACACACAGAGTCACACACACAGCAGATTCGTGTGCACAGATACTAAATTAGTGGACGTCGTCATCTTCTTCCCGCTGATCTCAAATGTACTATGACGTGCTATTTCGCCTGACGCACCTACCGTAGACAACACCGTAGTGTACAGATTCGCAAGAGTGCTTCCCACCGCGTAGAGTCGACCGCCCGTGCATGCAGCTGTCTGGCGTTTTTTTCAAACCAGGTCGAAATGTTTGAGGGGGCACCCCCCCCCCCCCCCCCCTCTCTCTCCTAAACCCGCCACTGAAAAGTGTGAGTGACACGACGTTTTCTTTCTGTTTACAAAACACAGGGTCACGAGTGCGAATACACACAACTTCCAACACCTGCAATTGCTTGAAGAAGCATGTGTGCGCCTGTCTGGCTTTGCAGCCTGAACCATATACTGTACATACATCGATCAAAATCTCGAGACGCCCGTTCAAAGCCTATCCTGTGCATGCAATCCTAAGCTCCTTTTTGGTGGAACATTGGTCCGGTATTTTCCAGATCGCCCGCTATTACCCTGCAGCCTTTCCTCTAATTTATACTCAAAAAGACGGCGGAATGATATTATATGATGGCATGGCAGTTGTTGCCCCAGTGCTGCGCTTAGCCATAACATGTAAATTGTTGGTCATGTAGAAATGAAGAATGAAAGCAATGATCAAACATTTGGTATGTAGGGCCGCTGTATCCAGAGGAAACTGTTTATTGCTGCAACTGACCTGCGGTACTCTGGTTATTGGCAGAAACTTCACCAGTCAACACGTTTAGGATCACCACCAAGAAAATAGTTGAGAGAAGCCTCATCTGAAATCACATACAAACAGTCAAACACATGAATAAATGTTGGCATAAAAGCTGGCTACACCCACCCACAGAAATGTTACGTTATCGTGGCCATACACACACACACACACACACACACACACACACACACACACACACACACACACACACACACACACACACACACTTGTACTTGTTGCTCACTGCCAAAACTGGTCACGTGGGTCTCCCCGGGAGAGGGAAGAGAGACTCAAAAGGAATCTTGGAAAGATGACTCAATTGGCCATTGAACCACGCAACACCTCAGTAAGTGGGTGAGGACAAGGTGCAGAAAAAGGATTGGCGGCATCAGGGTATCCGTCCCGGAATCCAACTGCAGTTACCCCTGCCCCCAGTGAAGGTAATACTTGGCACTAGTGTGGGTGGCTAAATCAGAGTGGATCTGATTATAAGCTTCTCTAGTACTATTGATTACACAAAAGTTAATCTAGCCAGAAGCAGTCCATGATTAAAAGTTATGTATACCGTAAAGTCGCGGATAAAAGCCGGGCTTATAAGCACATACGCCACTTTCTGCATCAGGCTTCAATGCAAACCAGGCTTGTATGCAAACCATGGTTATATGCACCACTGATATTTTTGCCAGGTGTGTATGCACATCAGCCGATCCGGGCTTGCATAAAAGCCAGGCTTCTACGCGCGACACGCGTAGATCTATCACTGACTGCCGGTATGGCGGCAGTTTTACTATGCACTGTACATAGCGCATGCACTCTTGACCTGCCCGATCCGGGCTTGCATAGAAGCCAGGCTTCTACGCGCGACAGGCTTATATGCATTGACTCGTTTGATTTTCAGGCTTCTATCCGCGATGTGCTTGTATGCAAACCCGGCTTTTATCCGCGACTTTACGGTACAGTCGACCTACCCCTATAACGATATTTGCGTCAGACCAAGAAATATCGTTATAAGGGTAATATTGTTATAAGGTTACTGGTTCATTTCATACATGTACGTCATAATGCATGATTTTTTTCATTTTTTACACTCTTCATAGCATCAAAACCTAAGTGCATGTATGTTCTATGCACATTGTGTACACAACAAGGCATTACTGGTGCCTCATTGCATTTCGTCATGTCCCAGCGACTTATCAAGTGACGCTTGCCCCACCTGGATAGGGGCCTCTACATATTCCTTGCTAGATATTGTTATGAAATGGAAAAATGCCGAGTGGTCAGCCCATTTTATATCGTTATAGGGGTAATATCGTTACAGCAATATTGTTATAAGGGTAAGGCGTTGTATACACAAGTCAATGGAGTGATTTGGTTTGGCAGAAAAATATCGTTATAGGGGTTATCGTTATAAGGGTAGGTTGACTGTACTTCAAATAGACAGTATATGAACCCTGAAACCAACAAAGGTGGTAGGTACTACAATACACCTTCAAGCAGCCGAGCCCGTTCGCAACAGATCCTACACTATCTGGCATAAGTGTACCCGCCGACCGCACGCAAGCGCGCGCACCCCCCCCCCCCCCCACACACACAAACATACACACACACACACACACACGGTATTCTGGCTATGCGAACCCTATGGGGGGTTGAGCAGGTTTGAAACAGTAGGGGCGATGACGGGATAGGTCCTGTGGTCTACTGAAACGCCGACTGCAATTGCAAACGATGCAGAAGGAGCTACGGTCTGTGTTGGTTGCTCTGGCCAAACCACGGCTGCACTAGTGACACTTCATGCCTTGGCACGATAGCACAGAGCGGTTGCAGTGGAAGCTGCAGCACTCGCAGAACATATTGTTTGTAACTGGTGACTCAAGTGTGTCAGAAGATGCCTTTGCTGATGTTGCTGGCGAGCAACATCAGCAACATCAGTATCTGCATCTGCCGCACTGGTCGCAGTGGCAACTTCCTGGCTGTTGGCTTACGGGTAGGGCACGCGTAGCTGTACACTTGTAACCAAACCAATGTGTCTCCTGAAGACATGCAATATCCACAGCCAGACGCGAAAGTTCCGCGGCGACCCGTTCGATTTTCTTATCCTCCACAACTTTTCCAGTTAAGCGGGATTCACAGAAACTTTTTTGCGATGCGACACGCGATGCGACAGACGCGAAACTGGGAAAACCCCAAATCGCAGCCATGTCGCACCCCACGCAACTGCCGCAACTGGGCCATCGCAGGCCATCGCAGAAGTTGAGCTTGGCTCAACTTTTGCGATGCGATGCGATGCGACAAGCGATTTGGTGTACGATTTTGACCTTTTCTACAGCAAAGTTGTACAAAGGTGCAAGAGTTGCCTATACATTTTTACAAGTTGTGTCAAACCGCGCGAATATCATGGTGACTTACCCAAATCAGCAAAACTTTGTCGCATCGCTGACTTCTTCTGTGAATGGTATTTCGCGAGTTCGCATCGCACGCATCCATCGCAGATCGCATCGCATCGCGTGTCGCATCGCAAAAAAGCTTCTGTGAATCCCACTTTATAGCTGCAGTTTCAATTGGGACTGAGCTTTCCACCAGGGACCGGACATTCGAGGTGCCTACAGACAAATATCGTGTACATCCTGTACTGTTTCAAACCTGCTCATCTCGTCCAGTCGCAGACGTTCGGGGGTTGCAACTCCTCACCGAACAAAGGGCGCGCGGAGAAACTTGACATTGCGCGAAATCACGCGACACCTGTACATTTTCGATCTGCGGGATGAAGATGACGACGCCCATGCATTTGGTAGCAAGGAGTAGTAAGATACTGGTATATCACTACTCCATGCCTAAAATTGTACTGTCAAGGGCATACGGGGAGTGCAGCATGCCATCGCTTATGTAGTCAATTATGGACCACTAACTACAACTACCGTATTTCCCCGTAAGTTAGTTCTCCCCAATGACTTTGTACCCCCTATAAAAAATACACTTTCCACTGCCGAGGTTATCACCCCGAAAGACAGTTCCCCGAAAGATAGTAAGTTCGTACCCGTCCTACATGTACAGACACCGTACAGTACATACATCATATGCACGGACGCTAGAGTTGCGCAGGCTTCCCACTGTGTGTCATTTATCCCCGATAAAAAAGTACTCCCCGAAAGATAGTACCACCCCCGAAAGTTAGTCACCCATGTGGCTGCTAAGTTCGAAAATTGGTACGTACTAACTTAGGGGGAAATACGGTACTCATGTTACTACTACTCTCAGTACACGCGTAGGGCTTTTAGAATGGTTATAATTACTATCTCGAGGAAAGAGACTGGAATATCACAAAGGACTAGACTAGGAGAATAGCACAAAGAGATCGATCCAAGGACTAGGCCTACAACAAAGGACTGGGAGAAGCACACCCCGCGCAAGCGCAGCCTTCAGGGTATAACTAAAGCTATGGAGGAAAAGGGGGGGGGCATGCAGTAAGTGGGAATAGGGTGAATGGGAAAATGGGTGCATACATTAAGCGAGACAGGGTGAGCGGGAAAATGGGTGCACACAGTTAATGAGACAGGGTGAGCGGAAAAAGGGGTGCATGCAGTTAGTGAGACAGGGCGAGCAGGTAAAGGGGTCAGCAGTGCATGCAGTAAAGGGAGGCAAAAGGTCAGCAGGGCAAAGGTCAGCGGGGAATGCATGCATGGGCATGTGTTCAGGGATGTAGACATGTATATGTGTACAGAAGTGTGTGCATACGGGAATGTGTACGGGGCTAAAGGGCTCATACAACACTTGCACTTTCCAGCTCAGAGTTGCCCTGGCTACCAATGGACAAGATTTCAGGGTCACAGCTTGCGCAATGGCTTTGTACTTTTGGAATGGCCACTCGACGTACTCAGCACAAATTCTCTATTGCATGCATGCACAATATGTTCAAATTTCGCATTTTTGGTGACTTTACCACCGTCATGGAGGCTGGTCGGTGAGGAGCAGGTAGCCATCGCTTGTGGAATCAAAAACATGGCTCCACTGTGTGGCTGATTCTGGAAGAGACCGGAGAAACGTTACTTTCTCCAGACAAACAAGTAATTCGATAACCGTTTTGCTGCTCGTCAAGCCCCGCAGTTAACTTGGTTTCTTGAAGGGTACAGATGTCTATGTCGTAGAAAGAGAGGTCTCGACACAAGGAGTTCCTCTTGATCAAGGAACTACAAGTTACGCTATACTGTCCACTAACACCACCAGTTACTAAACAATCAGCTCATGCTATAAATTGGTCTTTCTCCTTTGTATAAAATTAATTAAACCTTTGTTCTCCATCTGAGTCCAAAAAAATAAATAATCTCTGAATTTCTCATCTTTATAGTTGTAGTCTCTTAGTTTTATTTCCATCATTCACTGTACTATTTTGAGATGAAGGGAACGAGACATTCAATACTTCTTAGGCATGTCCTAATTGACTGGTGGTGGGTTCTGGTGTAGATTCATGCGTAGACAAGACATGTTACTAATGTTGTCTGCCACTCTGCCTGGGTCCTTTTTTCAAATAATAGTTCTTTTCTACGTTCCATAGGGGCTACCACCTTGGGCACCCTGTTAGAAGACCATAACGGTCTGTTCGGAATGCCCAAGTAAAGTAATAAAATACAATACAAATCACTAAACTCGGATTGAGAGGCAAGGATCAGAATTAAGAAGAAAGGGCCAAAGGTTTACAAGTTATCCGTGATGGTCCAACACTGGCAATTAGAAGCATGATATTGTTAAGCCATAACGTGCAACAGTTAGCACAATGATGGAACATTCAAAGTCGGAAGGCTGTTAGAGTGCGCATTTGAAATGTAATGGAGCTTGACGTCAGATCGTTGAATTTCCGTGCTGCAGTGGTCATTGTTATTCTAACGGTCGCACGTTACGACTCATCAATATCATCCATATAATCGCCAGTGTTGAACAAATGCGGTTTACGTGTAAACCTTTTGGTCTTTTCCTCTTGACAATACAAATCGCAAATTATTATTATTATTATTATTAAACTCAATCTCGTAACATGTGCACGCATTGCTAATGTGGGGAGCAACCCCAGAGATGAGGGCAATAACCAGCCATGGTAAAAGTACAAAGAAAACGGTGGAATGAAAGCAACAGGGAGGAAAACAAAGCTCAAATGCTTTTACTAGAGGAGATGAAACCAGCTATGGTTTGGAAAGGGGTGGAAATTGCCAAGGAGTGTGTTTGTATGAAGGTTTTATTTGCACGCCATACTACACAAACCAAAGCGCAACGGCATTGCTACCCAATACAAATCACCTCAAATAATCCTATACTCACTTAACCCTTTATGGACTGGCAAATTTGTACAGGAAAGAAGCGACATGCGAAAATCAGTACTAACTCGAAATCGGTGTACATTAGCCAATACAACACCATACATTTTCGGAAAGTAGATACGATAAGCTCCACCATCATCCTCCTCGCCGCCACTCTCGCTACTAGCAGTATCAGCAAAGCCATCAGATAAATAGTTTTCTTGACTTTCTGGGATATCATCATCACTATCACTGTCCACTTCGAACTCGTCGTCATCAGACTCGTCAAGTGGGTCGCCAGAACTGTCCTCATCAGAGTTCCAGTTCAGAATCATGCCGATGGCATCGTCCGCATCCATGCGAAGGCCGTTTCCGTGTCGTGCCATGACAGTACTCGTACTGCAATTTTAGTTCTGCATGCTCGCATAAGCTCTCAATTTTGTTTTTTGCGCCGCCGATTTGGTCAACATTTTGACTAAGGACCCCGGCGAATTTAGCACCATTGGAAAGATATGAATTTCGTCTTTCGATTTGTGTAAAAATATTGCCGAAAACGTGCGGTGCGCCCAGAAAATTTCGCGTCTCAAGTTTTGATCTTATCAGATCGAAACTTGAGCATCGAAACTTATCAGATCGAAACTCGTACAGTCCGTCCACAAAGGGATAACCTCTGCTCATACAATTTTCTCTGATCTCGAAATGTTCAGTCACGGTACTGATTTTATTGTGAGACACACGCTTATAGCGTTTGAAAATGAGTAGAGCATGCTAGAGAGAGAGAGAGAGGTTGTTGGAGAGCGGCTGGATAGCAGGGTAGTGTAACAATAAGAGCACTAGGGGAAGGCTAGATTTCATTTATCTAGACATCAACAGAGACTGTGCGAAAAGCCAGTCGATAGCACTAAAGAGTAAAGACAACTACAGCACTGCTCAATAGAATGCAGTCGCAACCTTCAAGTATGTACGGGGTGTTGCACAGCCCTACACCTGCAAACACTGGGCTGTGAATTGTGCGAGGCGCAAACTTGTGCGACATGACTGAATTTCATTGAGCAGCAATGTGCAACACAGTCAATTGCTTCAGATAATCATGACAGACTGCACAACATGGGCAGACGAACGGGAACACATATGTTTGGCTGCACTGTACAACGTTTGCACTGTGGAACAGAAGTGAACAAAAATACGTGGCTGGTCAGCTGAGGTAGTCGACTGGTCCAGTGGCTTGTTTCAGACGGAAATATCTCGTGAGTCTTTTGGGAACAATCAATTGTTTCGGGAATTAAGGCCATGTAAAATATATTGATTGTTTATCGTCAGATTTTCTCGAGAAATCGGGGCGGACGGGAGGTTTTTAATTTTATTTTTTATTATGCTTTTATGGCTGTAGGGCAGGTGTTCGCAACCCCAGAGGATAATGGAAAGTGGAACAACCAACGTTACGTAGAAAAAAGAAGAAAACCAGGCAGCTTATGATCAGTTTCAATTTTCAAGTCCATAGCAACTAAGTTACGGTTCAGTCTGTGGACTTGACCTTCGAAAATCTCAACCGCAGTACATACAGTACATTTACCAGTATTAAAAAATAAAATAGTTCGGCAGGGAGGGTGAAAATTTGGGGCGGGCGCGGACGATAAACAATCAATTATTTTACTTGGCCTAATAATAATAATAATAACTTTATTAGGAAGACCCGAAGGCAAATCGCCTATCGAGAGGTTCACCGCATTGAATGGTTGTGGTATGACAAAGCAAAGAGGCAACCATTGTGTGCGGGGGGGGGGGGGGGGGGGGAGTTTCGAACTATGCACAGTGAAGGGATAATTGTATGTACATGGCCAAGGATAGGGTAAACCGGACAAAGTGGCCATTTTTGGGAGCAACGGATTGGGAAGTATAACAGTATTGTGGTAATGAGTGCAAAATCATAAGAATTAGTTATAGGGGGATTCCCCCAGTACGAAAAGCATATTGTTGCAAGTGTTTGCCAAGAGTTTGACGGAACAGAGGAAGAGAAAGTAAATTATGACGAGGCGCAAAGCTATCATACTTCCGAGCACAATACAAAAATGTAATGTTGACAAGCCGACACACATGATCTGCAAGTCAAATGGCCCACAACGGGGAGCCGAACATGCACACTATGGCATTCGACCGATTTGTTCGATTTCAATATCATGGTCTTTTCAGATTTTCATTGTACAGTACCTATTTGCAGTACCTTCCGGATCAGTATTTCCACTTGAAATAATATGCACCAAAATGCCTCATTCTCAGCATTCTTTTATTCGCTTCCATGTACAGGTCTGCTCTCGATATAACAACTCTCACTTGTACATAAACCTCGCTAGTAAGTAAAAAAATCAAATCCCGCGCCGAAACAGCATCACTCCCATACAAATTTTGTTCTACACAACATAATCCTACATAACATAAACCTCGACATAACACACGCTACGGCGCGGTCCCCGGTGTGCGCACTCTCGATACAACATAAATTCACGTGCACGGTACGATCAAGCGGTAGCTGTTGCTAGGCGGTTTAGACCAGTTTAGTCCTACATAACGTAAACCTCGGCATAACGCACCCTGTGGCGCGGTCCACGACGTGCGCACTCTCGATATAACGTAGATTCACGTGTGCGGTACGATCAAGCTGTAGCCGTAGCTAGCCAGTGTAGTCCTATTGTGCATAAATTCTGCGGCATTGATAGTATCTGATGTCGATGGTGGTACAGTGTGTATATGTTTGCACGGTTAAACCCACCTTGTAAAAGCCTTCATTTTGAGGTACATCTTGTATTTTACACACGGTTTTCTACATAACATAACTCTCGATATAACATAATTTTTGCGTGGTCCCAGAGATTACGTTATATGGAGAGTAGACCTGTAATTGGGCTTATTGCCCGTTTGGTTTTGCGAATTCAAATAAAAAAGCAACAACAATTATCCAGTGTGGCCCTTCGAAACCCCAGATTGCTAACCGACCCCCTACCTAACTACGCGGGTGTCCAAAGATGTGCACTCTCTTACCTTGCCAGGCACACTTAGCATGATTCTTGTGTGATCTCCGGCTGGCGAGAGCGCTTTGGCAGAAGTTGGAAGGGCTTGGCCCAGCTTGGGAAAAACAGCTCTCCGCGTGTTCGAATGTTGAACTGAAGTGCGCGGAGCAAAGAAAAGCACCTCTTCAGTTGTCAATCTACCAAAGCGCTCAGATTTTGGTCCAAGTCCTTACCCCTCAACACGAGAACAGAGGGCCAAAGGCAAGCTAAAATCTTCCTCACACCGCGATTCAAAATTCACTGTCACCAGGAAGAAGAAGACTGTACTGGTTTGAAGCAGGGAGTAGTACAATACCGTGTACTACTCCCTGGCTTGAAGCGCTAAGCAGGGAGTAGTACAATACTCCCTGGTTTGAAGCGTACGGCAAACCGTACTTATCGCTGACAACCGAGCAGCAGGCAAAAGCCACGCGCTTGGCTAGGCGCGCAACAATAGGGTGTCTGGCCTGCAATGGCGGGCAGCCGTATACGGGAAAGCCCAGGCCGCAGTACGAGTGCGCCCTTATGCGCGGGCGAGACCACCCCATGTTTACTACCAAGAGTACATAACCCCAGGGGGGGGGGGGGGGGTTATGTACTCTTGTTACTACGTATACAAGCAGGGCTCATGGCGCCTAATTTAGAAAACCGATCCTGTCAGGTTTCTATTATTTTGTGTTCTCTATACAGTACAGTATTAGGAAGCAGTTCCTTTCATGGCACGAAAGGACTCCAGCACGCGTACTAAGCCTCAGCCAAGGTACAGTACTAACCGAGTACGCAAGATAGAACAGCCGGTGTGGTGGAGCAAACACACCACGTATTAGTATGGAAGAGGCGAAGTCCCCGGATGCCGCCCGGTCCACAATGACAGACACCACCATGCTTATATGGGAAATAAGGTGCGAGAGCCCACCATGTAGAATGTACCAGGTAAGGCGGGCCGCATAATTATAAGCACGTGGCAAGCGCAAAAAAAGAGACGTACCCACGAGGCGAGGTATATTATGGCACCGCAGGCCGCGCACCTGGGAGCCTTTCTGGAAGCCTTACTCGATCGGATAGAGCGAAATTGCACATCAGAGGCTCCGCTCCATGTAACACTGTAGTGGCCCTACATTTTTACTGCATAAACAACCAGTTTTCAAAGCTTATTATTATTATTTTTTTCTTTCGTTCCTACACCATAACACGCATGCTCGGCCAGTCCTTCCTCGGCCTTGTTTTTACTGCATTTTCTGCGTAGTTGTTTGCATTGCATGCCTATTCGAGTTTTTCCAAAATATCTCCACGATGGACGCTGTTTTGGATTTGCTGCATACCCTGGCGCAGCCAGAGGTACAATCTGCCATCGCGGCATCCGCCCACTCCCGCGGAAAACAAATAGGAGGCACCGTTTCGGGGAACGGCATACAAATTTCCTCAAATTCCGCACCCACGGGCGGATTAGAAACTGGTCGTGGCACCACCGCAGCCTCTGGCGGTCAAGAAATGGAGGAGGCTCGGAACTCTTCCAAAAGGGAAGGGAACCAGGATGACTCTCGGGTAGATGGCGGGGAGCCTTTTCGTTTTGTCTCACTGGCCGAACGTCGTTCGGCAAGCCTCGGTTTTTCCACGGACCGCCATTCCAGCAATGGCGGCCGGGGCCATACATGTATTAGGGGTGACGTCACTGACGTATCTGGGTCACGTGATTTACGTACAGCTAGATCTAGATCATGCTCACGGGACAGATCTCCACCCCACTCACGATCTCCCTTTCGTTATCGTTCTGCTTCATGTGAACGACGTACACGTACTCGCCATAGACCGGCTGGTGCTACACGTACACGTAGATCTAGATCTAGATCTCAATCTGCGGACAGATGTCGGTCAGTGTCACGCTTGGGTGCTACGCACGAGTCCCGCCTGAGTGCCCTCGGACGACATGGGTCACCCAGACGCCGCGAGTCGCACCGTTTCACCAGGCACCGAGATAGTTCTGGCACTAGTTCTAGCTCTGGTACGTCAGAATCTGACGATAGTGACTCCGACAGTCCTAGTGGCACATGTCCGTCATCCGACGACTCGGCTGCCCACGAGCATCGCCGCGGTAGCGGCGCGGGCTTCGATCCTAAGGGGTTAGTGGACGACTCTGTATGGTCTCCCCCCTCGCACATGGCCTCGTACCTACGGGAGCACTGCCGTGGTTCCCTGTCCTTCGCTGAGCGTCAACGGGTGCGGAAACTGTGTCCCCGACCGGACGTGGAGGAAACGCGATGTCCACGCGTGGACCCGTTCTTGTCAGATGTCCAGGGCCTGGCCAATGCCAAGAGAGCGGATAGAATGCTGGCCAACATCCAACAAAAGGTTACGGACGTTTTCCGTCCCCTGGCCGCGCTCTGGGCTGCTATTGAGCAGGGCCGGCCGGTCCACGAACTGACCGAGCTGGTCCAGATGGCGATCGTCATGACGGGCGACGCCTCAAATGTATTGTCGGAGACACGCCGTCAGCGCCTCATGGCAGCGCTGCCAAAGAGATGCCCGAAGAGCCTGCTGCAGGGCTTGCGTCCTTCCGGTGATCTCCTCTTCGGTGATGGATTTTCCCGGGAGTATAAACGGAAGTGCCAGGAAATGGACGTATTCCAGCCACGGCCTTCTGGGCGGCGCCCGGGGACCGCACAGGACCGGTCGCAGCCTGCCCGTCCTGACCGTTTTTCTGGTCGCACCGTGTACCGGTCAGATCCAGGGCGGTTCCGCCCTTACGACAGGGCAGGACGGGGTCATGTCACCCGCCGGCCTGAGGAGCATTTCCGCCAGCCAGCAAAAAACGGCCGGGGCCAGCCCTTTCGCGGGCGCCCTTGAGGTCGTTGACGACCTCCCCCGTGCCTGGCTGCCTCACGGAAGCCCCTACCCCCCAGGTAGCGGGCCGATTGGAGCATTTTGCGGCAGCCTGGCGAGACCTAACGCAGGATGTGTGGGTGTTGAAGACCGTCTCAGGGTACTGCTTAGACCTCCACACCGTTCCTTGCCAGCGGTCCACTCCGACAGAGATGTGGTTCCCTCCCGAAAAATGCGCCACCGTCCACCAGGAGATAGAGGATCTCCTATCCAAGGGTGCAATTCGACCGGTGAGCCCATCTCTCGGCCAGTTCGTGAGCCGGTTATTCACCGTAGGGTACCACCGCCGAACGTCCAGTCATCGACCTCCGCCACCTGAACGAGCACGTGCGGTACGAGCACTTCCAGATGGAGGGTCTCCACCTCGTTCCCCTATCCGTCCGAGAGGGCAATTGGCTCACAAAGCTAGACCTCAAGGACGCGTACTTCACCGAGCCGATCCATCCCCAGCACCGCCGGCTCCTGCGCTTCAGTTGGGAGGGCCAACTCTACGAGTTTCAGTGCCTACCGTTCGGCCTGTCCAGCGCCCCCCGGGTATTCGCGAAGCTGATGAAGGTCCCGATCAGTGTTCTTCGTCGTCAGGGCATTCATCTCATCCTGTATCTCGACGACCTTCTCCTGATTGCCGAGTCACGGCCGGCCGCCGTGCTGCAGACACAGCAGGCCATTCAACTCCTAGAATCTCTGGGTTTCGTAATCAATCGGAAGAAGTCCATTCCCGAGCCTACGCAACAGCTCGAGTTCCTAGGATTTCAGTCGAACTCTGTGGCCATGACGATGTCTGTGCCGATCGACAAGGCGCGGAAACTCCAGCAGGAGTGCAACCGAGCCCTGTCCCAGCCCTACCTGTCCATCCGCGCATTGGCCTCACTCCTGGGCAGGATGGTTGCGTGCTCCCCAGGCATGTTTCTGGCTCCACTGCAATTCCGCCACCTTCAGCAGTTGAAGACTGCAGCCCTTCGTCGCCATCAGAGCTACCTTGCCACGGTACGCCTGACGCCGGAAGCCAGGACGGAGCTGACGTGGTGGGCAGCAGATCTAGAAACTTGGAACGGTCGCTCGATTCTCAAACCTCCCGCTCAGCTCACCATATTCTCCGATGCGTCCCTGCTCGGCTGGGGAGCGGTGTGCGGCACAACGAGTACTGGGGGTCAATGGTCCCCAACCGAGGCCAATCTCCACGCCAATGCTCTGGAATTGATCGCTGCCTCATTCGCGGTGAAAGCCTTTCATCACCGGGCCTCGTACCGTCCTCTGCACATCAAGTTGTTGATCGACAACACGACAGCCGTCAGCTACATCAACCGCTTAGGCGGCACGCATTCCCGTCTCCTGTCCCAGATCGCTTGCGACCTCTGGAGATGGGCGGTCCAACACGATATCCGCCTCCAGGCGGAATATGTGCCGAGCGAGGAGAACCCAGCGGACCATCCTTCTCGGGGCTCCCTCTCCGAGTCCGGCGACTGGCGCCTTGACCCTGCTCTGTTTCGCAGGATTCAGAGGGCAGCTCCTTGGACCTTGGTGCTAGATCTGTTCGCATCTCGACTGAACACGCAACTTCCCGCCTTCTATGCTTGGAGGCCGGATCCGGGGGCTCTCGCTCTAGATGCGTTCTCTCAGAATTGGAGTCTCCCTCATCAGGACGCGGTGTATGCCTTCCCACCATTCTGCCTACTGGACAGGGTGCTTCATCGTGTGGCCTCACTCCATACTTGCCGGATGATACTGGTCGCACCAGTATGGGATACGCAGCCATGGTACGCGACTTTGCTGCAGGTGTTGGTCGATTTCCCCATGCTTCTGCCCACATTCGCCTGCTACTCTCACCCTCGGGCCATCCACACCCACTGGTACTATCCCGCCACCTGCGCCTCGCCGCATGGCCTATCTCCAGCAGCGCTTCAATGCAGCAGGACTTTCTCCACAGGTCGTGCGACTCCTCTCCTCCTCTTGGCGGTCATCAACCAATGCCGCTTACGCATCGGCATGGGAGCAGTGGCTGGGCTGGTGCAGTCAACGGTCAGTGGATCCCGTTCGCCCATCTTTAGCTATGGTGCTCCAGTTCCTGGCCGATTCCTTTGAGGACGGCCGCAGCTACAGTACCCTGAATGTCTATCGGTCAGCGATGGCTGCTACCCTGCCTGAGCTGGATGGTGCACCCATTGGCCAGCACCCGTTGGTGGTGCGTTTGCTCCGTGGTATCTGCCTAGAGCGTCCGCCGCAGCCGCGGTACTCACATACTTGGGATGTGGGTATTGTCACTTCTTGGCTCTCTAAACTGCCTGCAAACACGGACCTGTCTCTCCCTGTCTTGTCTGGCAAGTTGGCCATTCTGATGGCCTTGACTGCTGCTCGGCGCTCTTCGGACCTCCACCGGCTAAGCCTCAACTCTCATCGTTTCTCTGCCGAGGGCGTGGCGTTTGACTATCTCACACCCCCTAAGCAGCATCGCCCTGGTTCGGAACCAGCCCGACCTGTCACCTTTGCTGCCTTTCCTGTGACTCCTGCACTCTGTGTTGTGGAGTGCTTCAGGGAGTACTTGCGTCGGACCGCCGACCTGCGGCAGGCATCTTCTGCACATCTGTTCCTCAGCACGAAGCGTCCGCACCACCCTGTCACCTCTGCAACGATTGCTCGTTGGATCAAGCAGGTTATGTCCAAGGCTGGTGTGGATACATCATTGTTTGGTGCCCATTCCACTCGTGCCGCTTCTACGTCTGCTGCGAAGCGTAAAGTTATGTCGACAGTGGACATCATGAAATGTGCTGACTGGAGTTGCGCATCCGTGTTCCAGCGCTTCTATTTCAAGCCGTGGGAGGGTGAGACCAGCGGCTCTTCCCCATCGGCACATCAGCAGTTCTGCCGCTCCGTGCTTGCGCCGTAGCGCTACCAATGTTGGCCTGGCCAGGTTCTGAGTCTGTGACTTTGTGTCTACCTCAGCAATCCGATTGCTGTCTGTGCCTGGCTTTCTCAATGCCGTTCTATCTGTGCATATGTATAGTACACGGCTTTCCTCAAATTTTATTCTTCCTTTTGCCATTACGCCTGTGTCCTTATTCTGGACAGGCCTTTTGTCACTTTCTGCGGCAAGTTTCCGTGGCACCGGTTTACCCTGTTCCTTACTGATTTGGTGGTGTGCATGGTGTGCTGCATGCCAGGTTGGGGGTTTTCATGGCCTGCGTTGGTCCCTCTCTCCGGTCTTGTGGTGTTCGCTTCACCTCTGATTTGAGCGTTGAAATCTACAGTGTTACATGGAGCGGAGCCTCTGAAGTGCAATTGACGATTATACAAGGAACTCTGTTCTGATGTATAATCATAATTGCATGAAGAGATGAAGCGAAATGTAACACTGTAGTCCCTCCCGCCCATCCCATTTACTTATGCACCGGGGAGTGCCCATGGGCTTTATCTTGGCCATTGACGCGTTCAAACAAGGCCGAGGAAGGACTGGCCGAGCATGCGTGTTATGGTGTAGGAACGAAAGAAAGAAAGAAAAAAAAAAAAGCTTCGAAAACTGGTTGTTTATGCAGTAAAAATGTAGGGCCACTACAGTGTTACATTTCCCTTCACCTCTTCATGCAATTATGATTATACATCAGAACAGAGTTCCTTGTATAATCGTCAATTGAGCACCCTGGGATGCGAGCAGTTTTAGTACTCCCGGGTCCAAATGAGATTTTGGACCCGGGAGTACAAAAAACTGCTCGCATCCCAGGGTGCTCAGTTTCGCTCTATCCGATCTAATTCCGGTGTGTTGATTCATGAAAATCGGCGGTTGTCGATGTCACCTCGACATTTGCACATAAAAAATTGTAGTTGTGGTCCTGCACGCACGCACCGCGCCATATAATATGCATTCTTTGCCCTTTTTGGACGATGTCGATTTTTTTGTAGTTGCTTCGTTGTGATCGGGTCAGTGACCAATTTCTACAGTGTACTCGTTCAATACGATGGCAGCTTGGTCTGGCTCTTCGGTTTCGGAAATCATCTTTCTCTAATTTTCTGCGATGATGGAATGCCATACCTCAAGACATTTCAGTTACATATCATCGGAAAATACAGTTCTCATCTCGGCAACAGACGAAAGAAACCACTACCGGAATTTCCACTGCACTGGCACTTGCTCTGACCACGAGGTCAGGAAAGCGAAAGCGCTTCGATGTCAGCGGCAGTCCCTCAAGAGTCCAAATCTACCTGATTGTATGAATTATTTTCATCGACTTCAAGAATACGAACCACGAGGCACTTCCTCCAACATGCAACATGCGAAAAATTACATCCAAAACGGGTCACAACTTTGATGCGTCTAGCACATCTCAATTCTAAAATCCACCGGGAATCCACAGGAAAACTACTCAGACTACACTGTTATTATTCATTGCAAAAGAACACCGAAAGGCCAAACCGCATGGTGAAGACTAATGTCTAGACTACTGAAGGATTCTCTGAATCCTTGTGCCATAACAAAGAGAAAATACAGAATGTGTAGTGCGCCAAGGTTAGCGTATCTACAAACATGCAATAATTACAACGCGCAATAAAAGGAGTACAAATATCCGGCAAAGGACACGAATGGTGTACGGTAAAGTAGTAGTAGTAGTAGAATTTATTATTTTGATAGGGAAGGCCCTACAGACGTTGCCGTATTGTTACAGGGAACCCTAAAGCGGGATTCACAGAAGCTTTTTTGCGATGCGACACGAAAAAATGCAAAAATGCTTCTGTGAATCCCGCTTAAAGCGGGATTCACAGAAGCTTTTTTGCGATGCGACACGCGATGCGACGCAATCTGCGATGGATGCGTGCGATGCGAACTCGCGAAATACCATTCACAGAAGAAGTCAGCGATGCGACAAAGTTTTGCTGATTTGGGTACGTCACCATGATATTCGCGCGGTTTGACACAACTTGTAAAAATTTAAAGGCAACTCTTGCACCTTTGTACAACTTTGCTGTAGAAAAGGTCAAAATCGTACACCAAATCGCTTGTCGCATCGCATCGCATCGCAAAAGTTGAGCCAAGCTCAACTTCTGCGATGGCCTGCGATGGCCCTGTTGCGGCAGTTGCGTGGGGTGCGACATGGCTGCGATTTGGGGTTTTCCCGGTTTCGCGCCTGTCGCATCGCGTGTCGCATCGCAAAAAAGCTTCTGTGAATCCCGCTTAAGTGCTCTTTACAGAGCGAAACAAAAACGGATAGATGCTCAACCTGACGACACGAGACAGGCAGAGAATTCCACCTATCAGCGCCAAGGAAAGAAATGGAGAACATGCCATATCTAGTGGTAGCAGCGGGCAAAGAAAGTGAAGAGAATGATTGCCCTCTAGTGCGCCTCTCGGTGCAAGTAGCAGCCGACTGGAGGGTGAACATTGAGGAAAGAAGAGGACTTGTAAGCTGATGAATACAGCGGAAAACAAAAATAAAAAGCCTCAAGTTGAGACGAGATTCGAGGGAGTATAACTTAGCGTGCCGCAAAACAAAGACAGTCGGGGTACGGCGAGGGAGACCAAAAACCTGTTTCATGCTGATATGACTTAAAGTAACAAGGCGAGAGTATAAAGATGGTGTAAGACAGTGAGCATACGAGTTGCTGGCGTATTCAATAGTGGATTGGATGAGGGATAAATAAAATATTCGCTTAGTTGTGTGATCTACTGTACGGCGGCAGCGGCGGAATGCTCCTATCTTCTTATAAACAGATGTACACACATGGTTGACTTGATCCTCAAAGGTGAGGTGTTGGTCAATAATGAGGCCAAGATAACGCGCTGTGGCAGAAGGTCGAATATCGACACCACCGCATGCAATGGTAAGATCCGGCGGAAGAGGCAGAGCCTTCTTCCGAAGCACCATGAACTTCGTTTTCTGGGCATTCAAGATGAGACCAATGCTTCCAAGGTACGTATTTAGTCTGTTCAATTCACTTGTCAACTTGTGCTGAAGTTCTCCAGTAGACTGACAGTGTATATAAAAGGCGATATCGTCAGCATACTGTTGGGACTCTGCGTGGCGAAGTACTCCAGGGACATGTCGCACGTACAAAGAGAATAACAGAGGCCCTAGCACCGACCCTTGCGGAACGCCTCGTGTACAATGTGTCTCGTCTCCTCTGTTATTTCCAATTTTCACCTGTTGTCGTCAAAGGAAGACACGTGCATGCATTAGTACCCTAGCAAAAGTGGACAAACCTAACGTAGATCCACGTGGTACTAATCGAGTACCGTACGCTACATATTTATGCAAAGAAATATCAAATAACATATTATCATAAAAGAATGCAAATAATTTAATTTCAAAACACATGGAAAATCTCCGTAAAACAAATCGTTAAAACCGGAGGCTTATCGCAAATCACTACAATACTCCCCCACCAGTGGACGGAAATGCAAATAAAGTCCACGAAAAGACTGAGAGGAGAGAGAAACGACAATGGTGAAATGTAAGAATAGTGATAACTGTTATATACAAGAATGTTCATAGTGAATATTTACAAGTAATGTACAAATAGCATAGCCACAGAATCCACAGTCACTCAATGAGCTTCAAAGTGTACGTACCGGATAGGGTGAGGAGGTCGCTGGGCATGAAGCGACTGAACAGGAACAGGTGGAGGGGACACAGTTGATGGCGAAGGCATATGAGCTGGCTTCAGCCGATCAAGCGAGATGGTATCCCGTCGACCATTGACATTAACCACAAAGTGTTTTTCAGCACGACTGATGACTGGGTGTGGGCCAGTATATGGGGGTTGCAGTGGTTTCTTCACAGCATCGGTACGAATGAAGACATGGGTGGCGGACTGAAGAGCAGGGGCAACGTGAGTAGCTCGAGTAGCAGGAGCATCTCGCGGCTCGACAGGGCGGATGTCACGCATCATGGTCCGTAGGGCAATGGCATACGGAGCAGCTGACGGAAGAGACTCAGATGAAGATGTGAAGAATTCACCAGGCAAACGGAGGGTTGTACCATAAACCAGCTCGGCAACACTGCAATCTAGATCGGTGCGTAAAGCGGAGCGAATACCGAGGAGAACGAGCGGCAAACGGTGAAACCAGTTGGCTGATTGGGTAGCGGTCAGAGCAGATTTAAGCTGGCGGTGGAAACGTTCCACAGTGCCATTGCTCTGTGGATGATATGCTGTCGTACGAATGCGGTTAGAGCCAAGAAGACTGCATATTGACTGAAAGAGAACAGATTCAAACTGTCGACCACGATCTGTCGTGATAGTTGACGGCGTACCAAATCTGGCAATCCAACCAGAGACCAGATTTAATGCGACGGTTTCCGCGGTGCAATCATGGAGAGGAATGGCTTCCGGCCATCTAGTGAAGCGATCAACACAGGTGAGTAGGTACGTGAAACCTTGTGAAGATGGGAGTGGTCCGACCAGGTCAATATGAATATGGTCGAAACGAGCAGATGGTGGCATGAAGCGACTAAAAGGGGTCTTAGTGTGACGATGCACTTTCGATCGTTGGCATGACAGGCAGGAACGAGACCAGTTGCGCACATCACGGTTCATGGAAGGCCAGACGTATCGAGCGGTAACGAGACGTTGTGTAGCACGAATACCAGGGTGAGACAAATTATGCAGCATGTTGAATACGGGTTGGCGGAAGTCGGGAGGTACGTACGGACGAGGTGAACCAGTGGAGGTGTCGCACCATAGCAACTGAGAAGAGACAGGCGAAGCAACTTCTTACCACACTAAACTGGATGAATCATTATTTCGGAGAGCGATGAATTCAGGACAGTTACTCTGAGCGGTAGCGAGAGCAGCAAAGTCGACTGAGGATGGCTGGACAATAGCATCCAGTGGTCGTGACAACGTGTCGGCAATGACGTTCCGAGTGCCCTTGACAAAGCGGATATCAGTGGTGAATTCGGCTATGAAGGACAAGTGTCGTGCCTCACGGGGAGAATGGCGAGTTGACGGCAAGTGAATGGCATGGGTCAGCGGCTTATGATCGGTCATGATATGAAATGACCGGCCCTCAACATAGTGGCGAAAGTGCTTGACAGCTAGATACATAGCCAGTAATTCGCGACCGAAAGTAGGATAGCGGCATTCAGTATGGGAAAGCTTCTTGCTAAAGAAAGCTAGCGGCTGCCATGCACCGTCGACAAACTGCTGAAGCACAGCTCCGACACAATAGTCAGATGCATCGCACATGACATTGATGGGTGCCTCAGGGTTAGGGTGCGATAATAATGTAGTGGTAGCTAGAAGGCATTTCACTTGATCAAATGCAGATTCAGCAGCTTCAGTCCAACAGAACGAGGAGTCATGCTTACGTTTGCCGATGAGCAGATCCGTGAGAGGCTTCACAACGGCGGCACAGTTAGGTAGGAAACGACGGTAGATATTCACCATACCTAGAAACTCACGAAGCTGACGGAGAGAAGTTGGTGGTTTGAACTGCTGAATAACCTGAACACGTTGGGAAGTCGGCTCAATACCATGACGACTGACGTTGTGGCTGAGGAACTCAATGGTAGAAACAGAGAATACGCACTTTGCAGGATTAATGACGAGGCCGTGCTCTTGCAGACGCTGTAAGACCAAGCGGACGTGCGTGCGGTGCGTCTCAGGATCCGAACTGGCAATTAGGATGTCGTCAATATACACAAAGCAGAAATCCAGGCCATGCAACACTTGATCAACGAAACGTTGAAATGATTGGGCTGCATTCCGGAGTCCGAAGGGCATACGGACAAATTCGAATAAACCAAATGGGGTTGTAACGGCCGTCTTCGGGATATCATCCTCTGCCACTGGTATCTGGTGGTATGCACGAACCAAGTCTATCTTGCTGAAGACTGAGGCGCCATGAAGATTGGCAGAGAAATCATGGATGTGCGGTATCGGATACCGGTCAGCCACAGTTGCACGATTCAGGCCACGGTAATCACCACATGGGCGCCAGTCACCATTTGGTTTGGGAACCATGTGCAATGGACTGGCCCATGGGGAGGACGATGGTCGTATGATGCCCGCAGCGAGCATGTGGTCGAATTCCCGACGAGCTACAGCTAAACGATCGGGAGGGAGACGACGAGGCTTGGCAAATACCGGTGGGCCCGTGGTGACCACATGGTGCTCGACGTTGTGCTTCACAGGTGTGTCGTAGTTGCAGGGGCGGGTGACAGATGGAAACTCATTAATAAGAGCGTTGAACGAACTATCACCAGAGACTGGCAAACAACACGTCGGCTCAGCGGAGGACGAGACTAGACCGCACACACTCAGACTGGTGATGCCATCTAACAGTTTACGACCGTGTAGATCTACACTTAACCGAAAGTGTGCCAGGAAATCTGCACCGATAATAGGTGATGTCACATCAGCAATAATGAACACCCATTGAAACTTACGACGCAGGCCGAAATCCACCGTTACTGAGCGTGTACCATACGTCGGTATGCGAGAACCATTCGCTGCTTGTAACGCATAATCAACTGCATGGCGAGAATCAGTGGCAGATGGTGGTATAACGCTGACCTCTGCGCCGGTGTCCACGAGGAAATTGTGCTTGGTGAAGCGATCGTGAATGAATAATCGGCGACGAGACGGTGCAGGGCCGGGGGCAGTGGTCGCCTTCACCGACCGGCCTGGGAGTTTGACGGCTGCACAAAGGTAGCTGCTCTGGCACAGGGTGGGACGCAGCGGCGAGCGTTGTCGCCAAACTTGTCGTGATACCAGCACAATCCTGAAGACTTACGGGACTGCGACGAACTGCGCGAACGGCCGTAGTTTCGTGTGGGCGATCGAGATGCTGAACGCCCACGAGTACTCAAATCTTGCATCTCTCTGCGGAGGGCTGCGACCTCGGCACGCAACTCCGCCAGAGGTTCAGCAACGGGTTCTGGCACCGTAACAGCACGGACATGGGGTGGCATGACTTCCATGACACGGTCAGCTAGCAGAGATAACTACTGTATATCAGACTCACGACTGGCTGCAAGTACTACTCTACACTGATCAGGCAGACGCTTCATAAATAACTCCTTGAGGAATTGGCTATCCACTGGAGTATCACCAGCTAGCTGTTGCAGTCTGCGCAATAGGTTAGAAGGCTTCTGATCACCAAGCTCTTCAGCAGATAGGAGCTGGTTGATCCGATGCTGAGCAGAGGCAGAAGTACGCTGGACCAATGCTTCCTTCAGGTGAGTGTAAGGGTGGTCGCTGGGTGGGTTCAGCAGTAAATCCCTTATCTGCATGGCCATCTCCGGTTGCAGTGCACCAACCACATGGTGGAAACGGGAGCGCTCACTAGTTACTCGTTGTGTGATAAATTGAGACTCTACCTGAAGAAACCACAGAGCTGGGTCTTGAATGTAGAAGGGTGGAATCTTCAAATTAACGGTTGATACAGTCTCAGGACGAGGAACAGGATCCGATTGTAACATATTATCATAAAAGAATGCAAATAATTTAATTTCAAAACACATGGAAAATCTCCGTAAAACAAATCGTTAAAACCGGAGGCTTATCGCAAATCACTACAACTTTATTAGGAAACGCACGAACTCTTTTGGATACGAACTGCAATTCGTAAAGTTTGTGTGACAACTTCACGTCTACGCGTGTACGAGGCCTAGTGTGAGCACGACTGCCACGTTTCTGCGTTTTGCTGACGCATGGACGCGTGCTCATGGTCGCAGTGTGAGCGCGCCCTTATACCGTATATTCTCTATTGCAAGCACAGGTCTCCATTACTAGCACAGTCTAGTCTCTAATACTAGCACACTGTGAGCACCTTTCGAAACATTATAAGCACAGTCTCTATTACTAGCACAGTCTTGGTGGAAATCAATGCTGCATGCATAATATCTAGCATGTATTTCTTCTTGCTCTGTATGGATGCATTGGTTGAAAAAATATAAGCACGGTCTCCAATATAAGCACGGTCTCCAATATAAGCACGGGGTAGAGGGGTGTTGAAAAAATATAAGCACGGTATGTGCGGAAGTACGGTAAGTGCACGAGCTGCGCGTCAGGACGGAAGTCGAACTGTAAGAACACCGTAACATGTTAAAGGGGAAGTATACCCTAAAATCAAATTTTCACCAGTTGTAGTCTTCGGGGTGCTGAGTCGAATGGTCTTGGTCCGAGGAAGCTGAGACGCTCCCTTCCTACTTGAATCCCAATCGAACTCGCGCACTTCCACCGAAACTGGGTGACTGCGCCCTACTAGATGGGGATTTGTATGCAAAATGTCACTAAAAGCGCCATATCGTTCTTATAAAAGCACGGATGACCGCGATTGGCCCATATGTTGTAGTCTTTTGGACGCTGAGTCGACTGGTTTTGGTCCGAAAAGGCTGCGATGCAGCGTTCCTCCTTTATTCCCAATCGAACATGGTTGAACAAGCGGTCACGTGCTCCTGCGTACACCAGTCACCTGGTCACCGTGCCTGCAGGGTACAACTTACTAGCCTGTTTGACCTTTTTTGGGTGCAGTCCTGTCACTCGAGTTGAACTCGAGTTGAACCTTGGTGTGAAAGTTGTCGCCTGCTGGCGCGGTGACCAGGTGATTTGGGCACCCAGGAGCACGTGACCGCTTGTTCAACCATGTTCGATTGGGAATAAAGGAGGAACGCTGCATCGCAGCCTTTTCGGACCAAAACCAGTCGACTCAGCGTCCAAAAGACTACAACATATGGGCCAATCGCGGTCATCCGTGCTTTTATAAGAACGAAATGGCGCTTTTAGTGACATTTTGCATACAAATCCCCATCTAGTAGGGCGCAGTCACCCAGTTTCGGTGGAAGTGCGCGAGTTCGATTGGGATTCAAGTAGGAAGGGAGCGTCGCAGCTTCCTCGGACCACGACCATTCGACTCAGCACCCAGAAGACTACAACTGGTGAAAATTTGATTTTAGGGTATACTTCCCCTTTAACAGTACGAGAAGAGCCAGCCGTTAGTACCGTACCCAAAGCCAAGCCGGGGGCAGGGCCACCTGAGCAACTCGGATTTGAGGTATATTATGTATCAGATTGCGACGACCAGGAGGCTCTAAGTAGTGGCTGCAAATGACCGATATCCGTCACTTGCAGCTCTGCATCAGAGACCTGCAGCTGGCCTGAAGAGTTGTAAAATTACTCCTTCGTAGCCGGGCGAGTCAGAGCGAGGGCGATTCACGGCTTGGTCAAAAAACTGTCGGCCTGGAACGTAAACGTCGATCTGCCGACACAGTTCACCTGGTTCACACGCCTGGCCTGGCATGCTGCCTTGCGTGAAAGGAACATTTTTCCGAAAGCAAGCTTCTTCTCCAAAATTCGAAATTTCCTTCCAAAAATGCCGTCGTCCTTGACCTCGAAGCTGAATGTTGTTAGCATAGAAAATTAGCGAAGATGTAGCCGACCCATTCTGGCGAGCCGTGTGCCCTCTGGATATGCAGTTGTTCGCCATGGTCAACAATCTT